TACTCAGCGATCAAAAAAAGATAAAAACTCATGCCTTTTGCAGCAACATGGATGGAGCTGGAAGGGATCATGCTGATTGAAATAAGCCAGAAAGAAAAAGAAAAACACTGGATGGTTTCACTCATAGCAGGAGCATAAAGGACCAGAGGGGAAAAGAAAAATAATAATGAACAACTATATACCAGAGCCATTTTACAGGAGTGGAGTGGGGAATGGGATCAAAAATGGGAGTGGGGGGGCAGGAAAGGGAAGTGCACAGGACTATGGTGATGACACATGGGTGAATTGGTGATGGGAAGTCCACAGCTGAGATGGGAAAAGGCACAAAATAATATAAAAATAAACTATTAGAATAAAAATAAAAAAGTAGACAAGTAAAAAATAAAATGTTTTAAGTATAAATTGAATACTGGACATCTAGTGTGTTCACCTTTTATTGTATGTATTATATAGTCGTTAATTTTTACAAAACAGGCTTAAAGCATCATGTAGTAGAAAAATAATCATTAGGAAGTTATTCAAACACTTTAATTATCAAATTAGGATACTTGCAGAAACTATGTAGGATGGAATTTCCATTTACTTTGATAAAGCATGACATTCAGACTATACTGCTTCTTCAGATCAGGAACTTCCTAGAAACTAAAAGAACCAACTTGTTCCCCCACCACCAATTCAACCTCCTGGTAGCCCTCAAGATTGCACATGTATACCTATTTATTTATAGCAGGACTACTGTTAACAATGATATTTTCCTACCATGGGTCTACTGTCTAGCATGGTTGGTTAAAGCTGTGGAGGAGTAAGCGGTAATAGTAATCCACTAGGACTGTATAATATTTACCTATAAACAAGTGATAAATACCACTGCTCCTAATTTATATTCCTGAAAAGATCTACAACACACCTGCAGCCTGGAGATGCCCTTTTGGATTTCAAGCAACCCTGAGAAGTGACAGAGGTGAACAGGCTGTATGTTCCAGTTTACCTCCTCCCTATTCCACCTCTACTGAAAGAGGCATATAAAAACTTCAAGATATCAGGCAGAACATGGCAAAATTGCCACAAACATATCTGCCCTGCATCCAACTAGAAATGACAAAGTGCACAAGAAAAACCTCACCAAAAAGACTTTGGCTAATATCATTAATAGAAACAAAGCTATTTTCACTCAACATGGCACATAGTTCCACCAGAGGACTGTCATGCAGCAAATTACTAATGTCATCGCCTGATACAAAGAACTGCTCTGGAAAAAGGAGATGAGAAGTCAGCACTCAGCAATAACTATTTCTTTTGTTGTTAAAAAAAAACAAAAACAAAAAAAAAAACAGTGTTATCAGGCTTTCCCTGGTAGCAAAGGGTTAAAGTGTACTACTGTGACATTATCCACAGTCACTGTGTAGCACGAGTTTGATCTCTAGCCAGGATGCTGACCCACATGGAACAGCAGACCTCTCCTGTCTTACCTGCTGCTCCCCTCAGCAGTGTATTTTTTTATTAAAGATTTATTTATTTATGCTTACAGAATTGGAGAACAGGCCAGAGGTATGGTGGATGATAGGATTCACCAGAGACAGAATAGGGAACAGAACAGGCGGATCCACTGAAATACACTGCTGAAGGGTCAGGGGAGGTCAGCCACACGTTTGGCTGGGGATTGAACTTGTGCTGCAGTGGCTTCAGAGAGCTTCATAATTCAGTGCTTGAACCTGTTGCACCACCAGGGAGAGACTCCAGCAGTGTATTTCCATCTATCTGCCTGGTCAGCAACCCACTCTGTGAATCCTAGTAGGGATTCCTCTCTAGTGAATCTTCTCATCCCCTGCACCTCTGGCCTGTACCCCAGATCTTGTATGCATAAATAAATAAATCTTTTTTAAAAAAGATTTATCTATGCATACAGATGTCGGGTACAGGCCAGAGGTGCGGGGGGTGAGAGGACCCGCCAGAGACAGAGTGGGGAGCAAAACAGGCAGAACTGATGAGGGGAGCAGCGGGTGAATCAGGAGAGGTCCACTGTGCCATATGGGTCACCTCCCGGGGCAGGGATCAAACTCATGCCGAAATGGCTTCAGCTTCTTAGTGCTGTGTTTTAACCCACTGTGCCACCAGGGTGGGCCCAATAAATAAGTCTTTTTAATAGAAATATAAAACATTTTTCCCACTCCAAAAGGTTCCTGTATGCCCCTATTATCAATCCTTGTCCCCAAGCTCGATCCCCAAGTAACCACTATACCTTTTAGCTCCCTAATTTGTTTCTTGAAATTCAGGCTCAAAAATTATTCTTTTGTCTAACAAAATGCCCTTTATGCAACATGTATTTAAATACCTTCTCTCAGATTTCAGACATCTTTTGAAAAATAAAATTCCTTAATTTTAATGAAATTCAACTAATCCATTTTTCCTTTAGCAGTGAAGTCATTGTTGTCATTTAAAAAAAAAAATTCCTACCACAAACTCATTTACTCTCTCATGTTTTCTTCTAGAGTCTTATTTTAGTTTCCACATCACCTTTCTTCCCACCAATACCTCTAACTTAAATCAAACTGCCAAAATTGGCACATTTAAGGTTGAATCATTGCTTGACAACAAACTAAATACATTGTCTTTTTTATTATGTATGCTGTTAAGAAACCAAATAAATCCCTAAATAATAAATTATGATTATGAGAATGTGTCATTGTTGGGAATACACTACAATGACCTCATAGAATTGAGCTATCACTTCACTTTCTAATACCACATACCCCAACTTTAAATGATATATGTATTTCTCTTACTTACATGAAAGTAAGTCATTTTAAAATGAAACGACATTTTAACACAACAGGTTCACATTTCTGAAAAACAAATGCTGACGTTATAAATACTTAGACTAGAACTAGACACATATATTGATTTTTGAGTTCTTATAAACTCTCTGAATTAATTTTTCACTGCTGAAATAACCTAACTCAATGGAATTAGACATTCAATGTAAAGAAACATACAACTTTCATATACTCCTATAAATGTGAATCAATCTTCGGCTGTATTATTCTGCTTTATACACTATCTCTCCATCAGTAATTTCACATTTAGAAAAAAACAGAAAAGAATCAAGTACTTTTATTCAGCTATTTTATTTAACCTATTTACAAATGATGATAAGCACCGAGACCAGTACTCCCTGAATCTTTTTTAGAATAGATTTTATTTATTTATGCATACAGAACTGGGTGGGGTATAGGCCAAAGGTACAGGGGCTGTGACAGAATTTACCAGAGACAAAGTAGGGAGCAGAACTGGCAGATCAATGAAGTACACTGCTGCAGGGAGTAGCGGGTGAGTCAAGAGAGGTCTGCTGCGCCATGTGGATCACCTCCAGGACAGGGGTCAAACTTGCACTGAAGCAGCCATGGCCATCTTCACAGTGCTGCACTCTAACCCTCTATGCCACCAGGGAGGGCCCTGATAGTTTTTATGCTTATTTAACCCAGAACTACCCCCAAGATTCCCACTACAGGCTTACACAATGAGATGTTGTGCACTTAGCCAGATGATACTCCTTAATGAACATATTAAAACTAAAACAATGCCACCAGTGAGCTATTCCCATAGGGAAACTGAGATGTGCCTGAACTGAATATCCTCTAGTCAAGGATAAAGTTCATTTTATTAAGTCTACTTGCCACAACTATTTTATTAAAATCTATTGATGACAGGCCCTCCCTGGTGGCTCAGCAGGGTAGAACACAGCACTAAGGAGCTAAAGCCATTCAGCATGAGTTTGATCCCCGGCTTGGAGGTGATCCACATGGTGCAGCAGACATCTCGTGACCTGCCAGCTGCTCTCCTCAGCAGTGTACTTTGACAGTTGGCCTATTCTGCTCCCCACTCTGTCTCTAGTGAATCCTCTCACCATTCCTGTACCTCTGGCCTGTACCCCAGTTCTGTATGCATAAAATAAATCTTGAAAAAAAATATCTGGGCCCTCCCTGATGGCGTAGCTGGTTAAAGCACAGCACTAAGAAATTAAAGCCACTTCAGCATGAGTTCAATCCCTGCCTGCCCCGGAGGTGACCACATGGTATGGCAGACCTCTCCTGGCACACCTACTTCTCCCCTTATCAGTGTATTTCGTCAGTCAGCCTGTTCTGCTCCCCACTCTGTCTCTGGTGAATCTTCTCACCACCCCTGCACCTCTGGTCTGTACTCCAGTTCTGTATGCACAAATAATCTTTAAAAAAAAAATCTGGGGGCACTCCCTGGTGGCGCAGGGTTAAAGCATAGCACTAAGAAACTTAAGCCACTTCCGCATGAGTTCGATTCCCACCTGCCCACCCCGGAGGAGATCCACATGGCATGGCAGACCTCTCCTGACCCGCCCGCTGCTCCCCTCAGCAGTGTACTTCATCGATCTGCCTGTTCTGCTCCTCGCTCTGTCTCTGGTGAATCCTCTCACCCTCCGCATCTCTGGCCTGTACCCTGGTTCTGTATGAATAAATAAATCAATCTTTAAAAAAAAAAATCTATTGATGACAAAATAAAATCTATCAACAACTCTTACGATATAGCTAGAAAAATAATGAAACCAATTTAACATTTTGAATTATCTATAGATTACTTTTCACAGGTCCTAACTTTTTTTTTTGAAAGATTTATTTTTATTTAGTTAGTTAGGCACACAAGACCTGGGGTGCAAGCTGGAGGTAGAGGGGGTAAGAGAGAGTGGGGAGCAGATCAGGAAGATCTACTGAAATATAGTGTTGAGGGGAGCAGCAGGCAAGATAGATGAGATCTGCTGTGCCACATGGGTTAGCTCCCTGGCCAGGGACTGAACTCATGCCACAGTAGCTGGCTATAGCTTGATAGTGCTGAGAGTGTACCCTGTTCAATTAGGGAGGCCCCCAAAACCCTAATTTTTTAAAGTCAACAATATTTCATTGCATTAAAATTCATGCAGCTCATACATTAAGTCATATAGTAAGTTACCACTGAAATGAGCCTAGACTTACCTGTAGTAATGGCTCTATGGAACTGATGCATGTCTTCCCCTGAGAGTTCTTGGGCTACCTGCAGTATCTTTTGTCTGACACCATCCAATTTTATGTCTGATTCAATCAATATTTCTTCCATATCAGGAGCACTATAATCAAAATATCGGGAATATTCAGAACATCAGCCAGATGCTTCAATAGAGAAAAAGTTAAATAACAACATAGGACTAAATAAATATTGCATGTACTTGAATACTTCTCAAAACCACAATTACACTTTATTAAATTTATGAAAACATGGAAAATGCTATACCACACTATTAAGTAAAAAATACTATACAAAATTGTATCAGAATGGCCAAAACTACAAGAAAAATTATGCTCATAAAAACACGCTAACTGGAAATGTCTGCTTTTAGTCAAAATGGAGTATAACATGAACAAGCTATATTCATCCATCATAAGCAATTAAGAAGAAAAAATATACACAAAACAATGGTATTCAGATATTGGACAACAGGCATCTTGGGGTAAAGAAGCCTGAGAGTGGGGCAAGAAAGATCTGTGCCCTATGATTATTTTATATTATTGCCTGGAGAGTTTCCTTCAAATGACAGTGCAGGGATGAGCAGCCTAGTTGGAGTCTGGAACTCTCCCTGAGTAAAAAGGAGGAATTGGGAATTCAAGGGAATCAAAATAGCAAATATTTGCAGGAGTAACAAAGGAGAAAGTGACATAAGAGTTTCAAGGGCTACAAGAACCCGGTCAAGGCTTCGCTGAGTTCTGATCAGCTCAGGCCTAGGAGAAAACTGCCCAAGGCTGAAAAAAGGCTCGCCAACATAAGCATGCAATCTCCATACCGCTTACAAGGCTAAAAGTAACTGATTCATAACCAACAAATAGGTACTATAAAAAATAGTTCTTTAGGTAAAAAGGAAAAACATCCAGATGAAAATTTGGATCTGCACACAAGCACTAGGAATGGTAACTATGTGGGATAAATATAATTTTCCTATATTTTTAAAAAACACAGTTTCAAAGTAAATTTAATAATGTATTGTTAGGGTTATAACAAATACAGAAATAGTATATACTAAAATAGTATATAGCACAAAGGTGAAGTTTGTACAGGGGGGATGAAAAAAGAAGTATGTACATAAAGTCCATATACTGTATGTACAGTGATAATGTAAGCAGTGCTTACTTTACATAGTATTACGGGACCAGTGTGTAGCAACACTGTGACCATAATTTGTGAAGTGACTGTTAATACAACCATGCAGAGTAAAGATGTAGTTCCAAGATGCACAGGCTCCAGTTAACACAGAACTGTGCAAAATGTGGATGGTTGACCATGACAGGTTAAAAGATATATGTTATAAACCATAAAACAGCCACTACAAAAACAAAAGAGACATACTAAGACAATTATAACAGTATTTTACTTCTGCCAAAATAGGCAGCAAAGAAGAAAATGTATATCAGCTATAAATCCAAAATTATCAGTAATTACAATGAATGTAAATAACATAAATGTAATGGTTTAATAAGCACCTCCACTAAAAGGAAAGTTGTCAGAATGAATAAAAAGACAAGAAAGACAACCAACCCACTTAAATATAAACAGATTAAAACTAAAGAGGATGAAAAAAGATATAACCTGCTCATTCAAAAGGGACTGTAATAGCTTTATTAGCAAAGTTGAAAACAGAACAAAGAATATTTCCCTGGACGCCATCATAATGATAAGGGATCATTTCATCAAGCGAACATCACAACCCGATATATTAATACATCAAAATAAAGAGCTTCAACAGCCCAAATGCCCAAAAGTAGATGACTGGATTAGAAAGATGTGGTACATATATACAATGGAATATTACTCAGCAACCAAAAAAGAGAAACA